ATAGCCTTCCTGATAACATTCGGGGTTCAGACACACTCTCTCTGTTTAAATCTAGATTAAAGACACATCTCTTTGGCCAGGCATTCAAATAATGCATCTCATAACCTTGTACTGCAGTTATATCTGATCAAATGCACATTAATATTCTTTAGCTTGGGTTAAACAAATAAATTGTCCAATCCTTTAAACATTCTAATATTGTGTATAATTTTGGCGCATCAGGGAGCCGCTCTCAGGATGCGGCGTATTTAAATATTTTTGAATGAGCGTTTGCACGGTTTATTTTCACTTTCGATTTCGCGATCACACACTCTGTGTAAAGGGAGCACATCTTACAAAATACGCATGCATGGTCTTTTGTTAGTCATCTCTCTTTATTCTCGACCTGTGATCAGTCAAATCTGACTCCTGCAGCTCTTGTTGGATGCAGGGTTGCCAAGTCCACGTTTTTTCCACAGAATTGGGCTACTTTTAAACTGTTGCCATGGGTTGATTTTCCCAAGTAGGTTAAAGGTTTGAAATATTGCATAAATTACATTTGACTGAAATGCTTGTATTGAAACATTTTGCATTCTACCTATGATAAAACTTGCATGGTCTTCTACATTAACTGTTCCCTCCTGGTGGAATGACCTGCCCAACTCAAAGCAGCTGTGTCCTTAATATTTTCAAGAAACCGCTGAAAACACATCTCTTTTTATCTTCATTTGACCCTCTAACTCTAGCACTCTCTTTTATAATGCTAATTCTAACCAGGGTTTTTTTTTTTACTTGTCCCTCTAAAATTTGCACTCTATTCTAACTACTTGCTTTATTTATAAAGAAAGAAGAGCCTCTAACACTATAACATTCTCTATTCTTTCTACTTATTTTCTTTTTATTTATTATAAATAATGACCTTCTAACACATGCATTATCTATTATTTTTCTATTCTTTCTACTCTTTTCTTTTTATTTATTATAAATAATGACCTTCTAACACATGCATTATCTATTATTTTTCTATTCTTTCTACTCTTTTCTTTTTATTTATTATAAAAACAAAAGCAAAATAAAAACTGTTAGGCGAATCCCCGTCCACGAACCCGCCCCCTACTGTCCTCTTTTTGAAAAACTAAAATATGGTCACCCTACTAAAGCTAAACTTCCCTTGTAATGACTTGCAATGAGAAGTATTTTTAAACCTGTTGTCCAACAAAAGAGAACACTATAACGTTTTTACTCCACAACTGCTTCCTTTTGTGATCTGATGTGGCTTCTTGTCACAGAATAAGGCAGAAAATGTTCTATACTGTAAAAAGCATATGGTAAAAAGACCGTTGATTAGCAATGGATTATAAATATACTTAATTATGATGAAAATACCAAAGATGGCTTTAATAACACAGATAAACTATACATTGTCGCAGTCGAGTGTTTAGTGTCTTTGTTTTATCATTCAAAACGTTTATATCTTCTGTTTACTCAGTTACAGCAATAGCACTGCCTTTATCCATATTAGCAAAGAGAATAGGGATTTCCTGAGTCCTATTACTTCTGTGATGCACATGTGGAGTTTCCGCGCGAGGGCACCCTCTGGTGTCCAGTATGAATGAAACAGACATTAAATGTGTTTGTATTGAAACATTTTGCATTCTACCTATGATAAAACTTGCATGGTCTTCTACATTAACTGTTCCCTCCTGGTGGAATGACCTGCCCAACTCAAAGCAGCTGTGTCCTTAATATTTTCAAGAAACCGCTGAAAACACATCTCTTTTTATCTTCATTTGACCCTCTAACTCTAGCACTCTCTTTTATAATGCTAATTCTAACCAGGGTTTTTTTTTTTACTTGTCCCTCTAAAATTTGCACTCTATTCTAACTACTTGCTTTATTTATAAAGAAAGAAGAGCCTCTAACACTATAACATTCTCTATTCTTTCTACTTATTTTCTTTTTATTTATTATAAATAATGACCTTCTAACACATGCATTATCTATTATTTTTCTATTCTTTCTACTCTTTTCTTTTTATTTATTATAAAAACAAAAGCAAAATAAAAACTGTTAGGCGAATCCCCGTCCACGAACCCGCCCCCTACTGTCCTCTTTTTGAAAAACTAAAATATGGTCACCCTACTAAAGCTAAACTTCCCTTGTAATGACTTGCAATGAGAAGTATTTTTAAACCTGTTGTCCAACAAAAGAGAACACTATAACGTTTTTACTCCACAACTGCTTCCTTTTGTGATCTGATGTGGCTTCTTGTCACAGAATAAGGCAGAAAATGTTCTATACTGTAAAAAGCATATGGTAAAAAGACCGTTGATTAGCAATGGATTATAAATATACTTAATTATGATGAAAATACCAAAGATGGCTTTAATAACACAGATAAACTATACATTGTCGCAGTCGAGTGTTTAGTGTCTTTGTTTTATCATTCAAAACGTTTATATCTTCTGTTTACTCAGTTACAGCAATAGCACTGCCTTTATCCATATTAGCAAAGAGAATAGGGATTTCCTGAGTCCTATTACTTCTGTGATGCACATGTGGAGTTTCCGCGCGAGGGCACCCTCTGGTGTCCAGTATGAATGAAACAGACATTAAATGTGTTTATAGCGCTCAATAATGGCCAATCCATCCTATTTTGGGTATTTTTATTTATTAATTTTTTTTAAGTATCGGTTTAGGCACCGGTACCATTTTAAAAGTATCAATTTGGCACCGGTATTGTAAAAAACCCAAACGATACCCAACCCTACTGTTTTTGCTAGGATTTACACAAGCTTCAGTCTGGATCCAGAACACCTGAGAAGAGATGATGCCAACTCCTCAGAGGACCTCAGATGATGCCAATCCTGAAACAACATACAGAACTACCAAATTGTGCTATAAGTTTGATTGCATCATATAATAATTGCTGTTAATGGTGTTCATCGTCTGTTTGGATATGTCTTTAATTGATTTTTCCATACATTTCTGCCATATGTTTAACTGACAGTCACCACTGATAAGCTACTACTAAATATTGTAGAAACTTAATTTTTGATGTGGCTTCTTGTCACAGAATAAGGCAGAAAATGTTCTATACTGTAAAAAGCATATGGTAAAAAGACCGTTGATTAGCAATGGATTATAAATATACTTAATTATGATGAAAATACCAAAGATGGCTTTAATAACACAGATAAACTATACATTGTCGCAGTCGAGTGTTTAGTGTCTTTGTTTTATCATTCAAAACGTTTATATCTTCTGTTTACTCAGTTACAGCAATAGCACTGCCTTTATCCATATTAGCAAAGAGAATAGGGATTTCCTGAGTCCTATTACTTCTGTGATGCACATGTGGAGTTTCCGCGCGAGGGCACCCTCTGGTGTCCAGTATGAATGAAACAGACATTAAATGTGTTTATAGCGCTCAATAATGGCCAATCCATCCTATTTTGGGTATTTTTATTTATTAATTTTTTTTAAGTATCGGTTTAGGCACCGGTACCATTTTAAAAGTATCAATTTGGCACCGGTATTGTAAAAAACCCAAACGATACCCAACCCTACTGTTTTTGCTAGGATTTACACAAGCTTCAGTCTGGATCCAGAACACCTGAGAAGAGATGATGCCAACTCCTCAGAGGACCTCAGATGATGCCAATCCTGAAACAACATACAGAACTACCAAATTGTGCTATAAGTTTGATTGCATCATATAATAATTGCTGTTAATGGTGTTCATCGTCTGTTTGGATATGTCTTTAATTGATTTTTCCATACATTTCTGCCATATGTTTAACTGACAGTCACCACTGATAAGCTACTACTAAATATTGTAGAAACTTAATTTTCTGTAAAGTTGCTTTGCAACGATTTGTATCGTGAAAAGTGCTAAACGAATACATTTTAATTGAATAAGTGTGACAAATATGCAAAAAATAATAAAAAAAATAACTTCTGATGAATAACTGACGAGCTGCGCAAAACCACGTTTGTATTCGCACGATTTTTTGCGCAGCTCGTCAGTGAACAACGGCTCTGTGTAGTTAATGTTGCTCAATGTGAAAGCCCGCAGGTGATGGAGATTTACCGCTGATTACAGAACCGGCTTTCTGACAAGATGCGCGTTAAATATCGCATGTGATTTATCGTGCAGCCCTAATATATATATATATATATACACACACCTCATTCCAGCTTTCCAGCTTTCCAACTTTTCTACCAGTTTTCAAACAGATTATGACTACAGGAGTAGTCAATCAATTAAAAAAACAAATTTTCACGTGTTTCCTTGCATATACTATGACCTCACAGCGCTTTTACCATAGCACATAATTTGTAAACTAATACATTTTGATATTTGCATCTCATAATCTCTATATGTATGGCTTTTCTAATGTAAACTTGCTTGGTAGCTCACCTGGTACACCATTACAGTTACAATGAGGAGCACCTGTATACAAGTCCTGTTGAAAACGAAAGAGAAAAGACTTGTAGAAACAAGCTAAAATACAATGATTGCTTCAGCCAATGCATTTTTATCTCACTTTTGCTTTTACTGACACTATCTGTTAGGATTTAGTGTAGGTGGTATGTTATTTTCAAATGCGATAGAGCATTAACCTTTGCAGCCACTAAATGAGTGTTTCATTGGTAAACTGCCACAATGCGTACAACAACCAACTTAATAAAATGTTGCTAGATTCACCTTAATCTGTTTTTAAACTGAATGCATTTTAGGGCCACTCACAAAACATTTGAATTTGAAAATGTCATGAAACATGCATGACGCAATGTAATTATCACCAGAAATGTTGCCCCAGGCATGATTTTCCAATGAGCCTTGGTTGGATAATATGGTTAATTGCATGTTGTCATTTGCATTTAGCAATGTTTTTTGCTGCTGGCCATGACTCAATCAGAAAAGGCCTTCGGCCCATTTTTTGGGATCACGACCCACCTGCTGAGAACCACTGTATTACAAGACCAGGCACAATTTTATCCTCCGGAGCTACACAATGCCTAACAGAACCTTCCAAAGGCCTGTGTCCTCTCGGGATGTTGTTCAGATTGCCGTAATGGTTAATTTGTGAGTTCCCGCAGCTCAGAGCATGGCTGCCGGTGAAGCATCTTTCTAATTTACTCATCGCTTCAGGGTCACTACAGGATTCGTTTCAATCATTAATGTAACCCGGTCATTTGATTTATTCAGAAAAAGTTTAATTAATGCAGAGATTAGAATTACTCATCCTAAGTGTTTTGGTCACTATGATTCTCTCACACAGGCACTGGACCCTGATCTGGATGCGAACATCACGTACCGTATCAGGACTGAGGAGGCCAGAGAGCTGTTTGCAGTGAATTCTCTCACTGGAGAGCTGAGGGTGCTTCACTCACTTGATTTCGAGAAACTCTTACCAAATGGGACAACATGGAACTTTGTGGTAGAGGCTGTGGATGGCGGAAGTGGCAAAATGCCTCCCGGGTTGGCTTCTGTTACCGTCACTGTGTTGGTAAGGGAGTCTCAATTATGTTCCTCAATTCCTTGACTAATCTATCTGTACCCAACCAAACCCCATAAAGTCAAGTCTTTTCAGTTGACTGCCTTCTTGGTAACACCCCCGGGCAGCTATTATGTACTAACTCGGCCAGCATGGAGATTCCTCCTGGTCTAAGCTGGAGTTTTTAGCAGGGGATATCCCGAAACTGTTGGCATCCTGTGATTTCTCGGTAGCCGCTCTTAAGCCCTGTGGACACTGACAGCTAGATACTGTATTATGTCTGAAATGGTCATTAGGTCCACAAGACCTCAGTTGTGTAACCAGCTGATTTGTAAGGTCTCAGAAGATTAAGTTCCACACACTGGATGAATGTCAATTAGCTCCCGCTGGAAATGCTGCTGTTGCTTAAGTGGGTAAAAGAAATCATTGCGGAGGTACAGTATTTATGTGATGGTTAAGGTCACTGTGACCATTTTCCAATGAAACGCTACTGTTAATTGTTTGGGGGACCTGCGAACCATTTCTTAGAATGGAGAATTGAACCAAGACATAACTGAATTCATACATGCCCAGAAACAAATATGGGTGACTATTTTTGTATTTTATGTAGTTTTGAGAACATATTTGAACATTCAAAGTAATTTAATGTATTTATGCTATCATAAATGTGGCATCACATTTACCATTGTTCAACAAATTTTCACAGGTGGAATCCATGAGATTGGGAATTTCATCCAAGGTGTTGTAAGGTGTTTGGTTTCAGACTTGGATAAATGAAAACATTAATTTTGGTTTCAGTAAAAAAAAAAAAAGATTTGTGTGCATGACTAAATGTATAATAATCAGTGTTTGGGCAAGTTACTCTGAAAATGTAATTAACTTACTGATTACTCCTTTTAAAAGTAATCACGTTACTTTTCTGATTACTTTATTTCAGAAGTAATTCATTACATTACTAGTTACATAACTTTTTTTCTGTGGCTACGTCCATGAAATTTACATGAAATCCCAGCATAAATGCTCCCTATAAATATTTATTAAAACATCATCATTCACAAAACACTGTTATTTTTAACTAAAGCAAGCATAGGCTGCTGCGTACATGGTTTGGCATGGCAGAATGCCAGCAAATAGCGCTGCTTTTATAATCTCTAAAAAGATGACATCTCAGTTCATCGCAATCTCACAAAGCTCTGTTATAACACAATGAATATATGCATAATGAATCATTCATAATGTCTACAATTTGTGTGTTATAATGAGAGGATTCGTGAGCACGCGAATTTCAGCACTGCACTCCTGACTGGCCATTGCGTTCCAGAAATCAACATTGCTCAATGCAGCTAACATGTGTTATAGCCTAAATAGAAACTCTGCCTACACTTGCGCCTGTTAATCAAATGCAGCTAACATGTGTTATAGCCTAAATAGAAACTCTGCCTACGCTTGCGCCTGTTAATCATTTTTATTTTATATTAGTTATTGTTGCTTTTGTGCAATAGATGAATAACAATTTATTTGTTTTAGATATTTTATGTTTAGATATTTCTATTTTGCGGGAGTCCCGTGAATCATTTTATTATCCCGCACACATACGAGTGTCTACCCGCCCGCATCAGCACTCGCGCACACATTACTAAGTAATGCGTTACTGCCCAACACTGATAATAATTTATAGCTATAGATTCACAGATGATATTAGTAAAAATAAATAAATAAACAAACAAAAAGATTTTATTACAGTCAGAAAGTAAGCTAAATTACAAGCTACATTTTTCCCAATGGGTAGCATGTCAAATTGCATGTCAAGTTTTTTGTTTTTTTTTGGTCACAATCTGTTGCAAATACAGCATTACAGTAAAGGTGCCTGATGCAAATAATCAAATGTGCTCTCCTTAAAGGAATAGTTCACCCAAAAATGAAAATACCGCCATCGTTTACTGACCCTCAAGTTGTTTCAACCCTGTATAAGTTTATTTCTTCTGTTGAACACAAAAGAAGATATTTTGATGGAAAAAAAAAAGTTGATGGCCATTGACTTGCATAGTATTTTTCCATACTATGGAAGTCAATGGGGACCATCAACTGTTTGCTTATTTGTATTCACATCCATATTCTTCAAAATATCTTCTTTTGAGTTCAGTAGAAGAAAAAAAAAGAAACTCATACAGGTTTGGAATAACTTGAAGGTGAGTAAATGACGACATAATTTTCACTTTTAGGTGAACTATCTCTTTAATTGTCATCTCTCTCCTATATCACATTGTAGATCTGATTCATTTTGGTGAATGGAAGTGAAATGTATAGTTTGTTAATCACAGTGTTTAACGTCTCGGTTACGTATGTAACCCTCGTTCCCTGAAGGAGGGAACGGAGACGTCACGTCGGAGGACCGACGAAATTGGGATCTCGCTTAGAGGGACCAATCTACTTCGAGTGTAAACTAAACGAGCCAATGCACATTGGCATGCGATTATTGCATCCAGCTGCTGCTGATCACAGCGTGAGTATAAGTAGGCAGCAGGTGCAGCGCATATTCAGGTTTTCGCTGAGGAGCCGAGCCGGTGACCCGGCCGCTCAGCGGTGGTACAGGAGCTGTGGCGACGGGACGTGACGTCTCCGTTCCCTCCTTCAGG